AAAAAAAAAAAAAAAACTGGAGGGGTCCAGACCAGACCCTGGGGGGCCACGCATGGCTGGGGGCAGACGCCAATGGGTTCGCTCCCAGGTTCCCCCACCCCTGTGGGTACCAGCCAGAGCTGCTGTGGGTACACGAGGGTGACAGAGAGAGGGGCCTCGTGTCCTGTGATGGGGGTGAGGATCACCTTCCTAGGCCAGCCCAGACACAGGGTGGCCACCGGGCAGTGGCCCTGGTGTCCTGACCGTCCCCAACAGACCCCTGGGGCTCCTGGCTCTCTTTGTCTCTCGGATACAGGGGACACAGCGGCTTCGGAGACCTCAGACCCAGCTCAGCGCTCCTACTCCCTGAGGGGCTAAGAGGGGCAGGGGGCTTGGGGACCCTTCCCAGCCTCCCCCAGACTTTGTGATGCTTTTCAGACCCTGAAAAGCCCCAAGCACCCACAACCTCTGGGAACCCAGGGAGGCCAGGCTGTACCCCCTCCCCTGAAGCCAGGCCCCTCCCCGGATGAGGAATCTGGCCTCCCTTCTAGCCTGAACCCCTGCCCTGGAGACTCAAGCTGACCAGTCAGCTGTTCACGCAGCATAAATTCTGAGCACCTGCAAGCGGTGAGAAAGGTGAACAGGATAAAAAGGCATCAGAGGGGATGACGGTCTGCGGAGGGGATGAGGGCCCACGGAGGAGGCGAGGGTCCATGGAGGGGACGACAGTCCGCAGAAGGGATGAGGGTCCAGAGGGGACGAGGGTCCGTGGAGGGGACAGTCCACAGAGGGGGCGCCTCCTCACACATACCCTGTGCTCCTGGTTCAGCCCCCAGCCAGAGGCCTGCAGGAGCCCATTGGCTCACAGCCCTCCGACAGCCAGCGGTCCCTCCTGAGCCCCCGCCACCCACCACAGCCCCTTCTGGAGCCGGCGGGCGCTCTCCCCTTCCTGAAGTCACACTGCGCCATTCCGTCCCTACACTCACACGGGACGTGCAGGCCAGTCGAGGAGCCCGGTCAGGAAGGACTTCCGGGCAGTAAGTGGCCCAGCGGACTCTGGGTCTTGGGTGAGCGCAGGCCCTCACCTCACCTGGCCGGGTGGGTCTGGGTCTGGGGCCCTAATCGGTGCGGGAGGCGAGGTCGGCAGCAAACGTGGAGCTGGGGCGCCACCTAGTGGCTTCCCACCTCCCCAGCCCAGAGCCCGGTGGGGGTCCTCTGCCCCCTCCTCACACCCTCTGGCGGGCGACAGCTTTTGAGTGCCAAATACAGAACAGGCATTTTGCTTACATCGCTTTATGTAATCTCTCCCCAGCCTCCCAGTCCCTTTGTTTGAGGATCAGAAACCCAAGGCTCCCAGAAATTAACCTGCCGAGATCTCTTGGCCGGGACGGGGGCCCAAGGCTCACCCTTGGGAACCCATGGCCCTCAGCAGCTGTGAGCTCCAGCCCTGAGGGCCGGAGGCGGGTGGGGAGGATGAGGTGGGGACAAGGTGGGTGTGGGGTCCCCTGTGCTTACACACCAGCCCAGTGACGGAGGCCCCAGCCGACAGCACAGCCCCAACAGCGTTTCCTGGGGCTGAGTCTTCAGTTCCCATGAGGTGGGGCCAGGGAGGAGGCAGAAGGAGACTTCAGTCCCTGGGGGCTGCCGCTTCCAAATGTAACAAAACCCCAGGGAAAGCCCTCGTGCTGGGCCTCCATCCCAGGGGGCACAGGCCAGTGTGTGCAGCCAAGGGGCCCCTCTGGGGGCACATGCACAGACGCTCTCTGGCTGCAGAATCAGATTCCTGTCCCCCCCATGGCCCCCCCCACCCCGCCCACTGGCCCCCAAGCGTTTGCATATATTTGCATAAACAGCAAGACAGGTCCAGCTAAAGCCTTTTCTTGGCAACAGTGGCATCAGTGCAAGGCCGGGTGACTCTCCTAGGGAGCCGGAGAAGATGACAGTTCAACAGTCCCCGGGGTCAGGGGACCCCGGGCCTCAGCCCCTCCCCGGGCTCCGGAAGTGTCTGTCCTTCTTCCCTGACCTGTGGGGAGACCAGGTGGGGGCAGGAAGAGGCCTTCAGGACCACGCCGCATGGTGAGAAGAGGCTCCTGTAGCAGCGGGGACCTATCCCCCCTAAGGCAGGGGGGGACGGACCCACCCTCCCAGTGTGAGGTCCCCGGCCAGCGAGGCAGGAAGCCTCCTCGGCACTGCACGTACACGCTGGACGCAAGTACTCCGGAGGAAAGGTCCCCCCAGCCCGAGGGGGCTCCCGGGACCACCGTGGGGCGAGCACAGGCGGCCTCCTGACCTCAAGGGAAGACCGGAGCGCATCTGGATGCTGCTCGAAGAGGAGCCCGCCGTGGATTACAAGTGGCTCAAACTCAAGACTGGGACTCAGGGCCTGTGCTCCCTCACCCCAACCCCGCGTCCCCCGCCCACAGCTGCCCACCTCTTCTTCAGTGCTTTGTCTCCAAAGAAGTGGCTGAAGATGAAGCCCTCAAAGTCATCCACCTCATCGTCGTCACCCGTCTGTCTCACCGCCACCTCCTCCAGGCTGTCCTCCAAGGCATCCACAAAGTCCCGGAAGCGGAGGCGGTCATGGCGGAAGATGCCATCCTCCCCAAAGTAAGCGGGCGAGAGCGGCAGCTCCTGGGTCAGCTGCCCGGCCCAGGGCAGCCGCGCCAGGTAAGTGGTCAGCAGAGAGGCCAGCTCCTGTCGCCGCACCGGGGCCAGCTCTGCCCCGAAGGCCAGGCCCTCCTGCCGGGCACACTCGCGCACGCCGGAGCAGCCCTGTGGGGCCCGGTACTTGCGCCTCAACAGCTCGGCCCACGGTGCCGGTGCCCGTGCCGGGTGGCCTCGCCCGTCGCTAGCGCCCTCCTCCCGCTGAGGGTGCTGCTGCCCCCCGGGGGGGTGAGGGCTCCCACTCCTCCTAGGGGGCTCCTCGGGGCCCTGCCGCCTGGCGTCCTTCCTGCTGCCCCACTCCGCCCCCTGCGGCTTGCCCTCCCCCCCCCAGTTCTTTCTCTCCCGAC